AACTTCCATTGTAACTAAAGCTATTCTACAGCAGTTGTGTTCAAACTTGGTCCAATGATAATGAGGCAATGTGGAAAATACAGAGGTTATAGAAGCATTTTTCTTCACTGATTTTCTTTCCATAACCTTATACTGATTTGTGTAGTCTGAGTTATTGAAGACAATGGCACATAAGGGGGTGGTTATGGCTTGCCACTATTCATTTTAATCATTTTCCCTCACTGTTTTGCCTAGTAACATAGATGCAGTTAATAAATCAGGTATACCTCACCATGCACAGTGCAGACATAAAGAACACAACCTACAAAGAAAATCTGAATATCCTCAGTATAATTTCACCAGACCAAGGCTCAAAGGGACTTCCCTCATTAACATACGCTTATTCTTATTTTTTTACCAGATTGCTTGAAAAGTATTCCATCAGTATAAAAAAATTTTAATCCAATATGAACAAAAATTCTATACTAATTTGATTTCAAAGTTAAGGCAAAACTGGCTCAGTAGTTCAGGGTATAATGAGTAGCTCAGAAATCCTATTGGATTTGCTTACACAAACCTGGCCTGGCTGTGGTTTCAGACTTCCCATACAGCTCATGTAGCCAATTCTCATCAAGAAATAAGACTGTATTACCTGAGGAAGACAGGGCTGTGCCATTTTTAAATCTAGTTTCCTATTTGGAGAAAAAAAAAATCAAGGTCTTTTTCCCTTAGAGAGGACAAAGACTCTGCAATGGAGATTTCCTGCTAATTCCATGAGGACATATATTGGCATCAGCTTCTTCCAAGAAAAAGCATTAAGGGTAGAAGCACCTTTATTCCCACTTCTACCACCTTGTCCTCCTCAATGAGAGTCTGGGCATTGTATACTTTCCTCTCTGCCATGGGCCTGCCAAGTTGGCACTCCAAGAGCAAATAATAGCAATAATAACTTCAGTATGTTAGCAGTCCTGGGAGTCTATGTGTCAGTCAGCAAGGATGAGTAGAAAGAATGGGCAAGAAAAGCATCAATTATTTCATGAAAATAGAAACTCTTTCTTCACATGCCACTCCTAATTATATGCAAAGAAGCAGAATCACAGATACATCAGGTACCTGGTAGTAGAGGTATATTGGCTAATTATCCATTCAGTCATGTTCCAAGCATGTAGTCAGTGCTCCATGGACTATAAATAGCTTAGAATTATGGAGATGGAAGAGGCTTTCCTTCTAATTAGTGGTTTCAGTTTCAGGGCATCCCTGGTGGCAGAGTTGGTAAAGAATCTGCCTGCAATGCAGGAGACATAGGTTCAATCCCTGGGCTGGGAAGATCCCCTGGAGGAGAAAATGGCAACCCACTCCAGTATTCTTGCCTGGGTAATCCCATGGACAGAGGAGTCTGGCAGATTACAGTCCATGGGGTTGCAGGAGTCAGATATTACTTAGTGACTAAACCACCACCACCATGGAGATGGAAGGGTCCTTCCTCCTAATTAGTGGTTTTGGGGCTTCAAAATGTCACAGGTCAATTCTAAATCCTCCCCTTCCACCATGTGAAGAATCAATATTGATATTGCAATTTTTTTATTCTGCCAAATGAAGAGAATTAACAGCTCCCCACTATCTCTTCCTGTCATCACTATTTCTTAAAATAAATGACATTTTAATAACACATTGAAGCCCCCAAAGACAAAACAACTTGCTCAAAGTGACAAAGGAAGCTAGTGGAGAATTTAGGACTAAAATCCAGGTCTCCAAATATCTAGCCCTTTGCTGTATGTGGAACAATGCACTGCTTTTCCCTAGGAAGGCTGGACAACAGTACAGTTCACTTCAATTCCATTCCTTCTACTATCCTTCCTGCCATGTGCTCCTCCAGACAAGTCCCAGAGAACAATGAGAATCTATCCCTGACTCTTTCCACTTTCCTTACTCATAGCCCTCCTTAACCGTTCCCTTTAAAAAAAAAATGAAGTAAACAACTTTGCTTTAAGATATTATTTGTTCTCAATCTAGAAGACTGAGGAAATAAAAACATAGTAATCACTGAATGCAGCTCACAAAAGAGAAAAGTTTATGCTACCCGGCATCTTCATGACAAGTTTGAAAATTATTGGTACATAACAGATCTGCCTTACAGGATGCAGACCTCTAGATTCCTGGGGGAGAGACCCAAGGTTAGTTTGCTTTATTAGAAGGCACTGTGTTATATTAAATCATATCTACACAGCCAAAGGGAATGTTAAACAATCATGCTTATTGATTTATCCAGGGAATGGAGGCTTGTTAAAGAGGCAAAAGCTGTTATCTGGATTTTAAAATGGGTGGAATTGAGTATGATTCATCTATTTTGAATGTCAGCACATCATGAATTCACCAACATGACAGGAGAACAGAGAGATCAAAGTAGTTACCTATTGAATATAATTCCTTCGAGAGCCCACGTACCTCCTCCAGTCCCCAAGAATCCTCTTTCTCCTTAATAAGAAATTTATTCTTTAAAATTGCCTCTATTCCCCATTATCTTTCATGCCTGTGCAGACCCAGGCATTTAGCAATGTAGGCTGACTACTCTTAATTAGATGCCAGGTTTATGTCAGTGACAATGCATGTCCCTTCATGTAGTCCTGGTGAGGTCAGGACACTTCCAGGCCAGGAAACACAAGATGAGAGGAAAACACAAATTGTGTGGCCTTGCTCATGGTCACACAATTTGCCAATAAAAAGGTAGAAACCGAATAGATATGTCTACTACCAAATCCCATGATACCCCCGCCAAACTACTACTGCCCCTACTCAAGTTCATACGTGGGCTTCCCTGATGCCTCAGTTGGTAAAGAATCTGCCTACATTACAGGACACTCAGGTTTGAGTCCTGGGTTGGGGAAATCCCCTGGAGAAGGGAATGGCTATCCATTCCAGCATTCTGACCTGGAGAGTTCCATGGACAGAGGAGCGAGGCAAGCTACAGTCCATGGGGTCACAAAGAGTCAGACATGACTGAGCAAATTTCACTTTCTTTTTCAAGTCCAGATATAGGCAAAATATTTATATGAGTAGAATGTACTCAGATGCTGGAACATTGTCTATGAAATGCAAAGAAACTGAAAGAGATTTCAGGCTCATGCTTGGTCTTCTTTCATTGTCGCAGTGAGTTGTAGAGTTTTAGCTTTAGCTTGGGTTACAGTACTGACTCTCCTGGCCTCTAGAATGGATCTCAGTGAGGCAGTGGGATGGTCATTCAACAGTGTTCTACTTTGCTCTACAAGCTACATTCTAGAGCCATATTTATTGCCACATCTCTCCACCTGCATGAGAAGTAATGATTAAAATGGTGGCTGGTGTAGTCTTGGAAAAAGTTCAACTATTCAAAGAACTTATATTTCCCCTCTTCTGTAATACAATTAATCCCAAAGTCCCAACTGCTCCAAAAGTCATGTTGATACTGCTGCTCTATCTTGTATCAGAGCTTAAAAAATCTTGATTATTAAAGTTTTTTGTAAGAACCCTCCATGGTCTCTGCAATTTTACTATCCGAGGGGTTTGAGAGAGTTTAAGCAATTTTAAATAGCGCCCATCGCAAACTACAGCTCTTCTACTTGAGATCAAATGCAGCATCTAAAAGGAAAGTCTGAAGTTGGGAACACTTTACAGCTGCTGAGAAAGTGCAATAACCATATAGCACTTAACCTTTGTATGACTAAGGCATTGTTGTATATCAAATTCCCCTAAGCTAAAAAGTAGCCAGGGAATCTTACCAGGATGTACTATCAAAGGTAGAAAAAGTTTCTATATGTATGAACTGAAGATTGTGTAACACACCTTCACCTGCCTGGCACATAGTAAGCCCTCAATAAATAAATGTTTCTTTCTTCGTTAGAGCACAGTGCCCAATATAAAAGGCATTGAGTTCTATAGTATAAGTCCATTTTGTTCCAAGGAGGCCCAAAATAAAAGTGTACAGAGTTTCAAGTAAAATAAACATGCAAAAAATCTTTGCTTTGGAAAAGAATTCACTGTAGGATCCTATTAATTAGATAATTTACCAAAATGTGAAATACAATCTAACTTACAAAATGAGATTCATATGCAACTTTTAGAAAACTGCATAAAGTGAGACAACTTGTAAATCCATCAAGTTATTCTCTTCAAAAAAAAAAAAAAGAATGTTTTTTAGAAATGTCCACAGTAATCCTAGACTTGGCCTCTCTCTTCCTCTCCCCCACCAATTGGCTAATTCCTATGTGTGTCTGAACAACAGAAAAAGCTTCAGTTCTTCCAGGAAAACTTCCCTCATTTCCCACACCAAACAAAACAAAACAAAACAAAAACAAACCAAAGCAAAACAAAAAAACACCCTGTCCACATCTCTGTTATTCCACTGTATTATCATTATGTATTTATGTGTCTTTCACTCAACTTGAACTCTTCTTTGCTTAGGGAGAAATGAGATTAAGAAATGAGCCTTAATCGGCTAAGCTTAGAATATTATAAGTTCTCAATAAATATTAACAGAATGAATACATTACTGACATCAAATCATACAGATCTTAGGGTGTGGCTGGTGAGCACATGCCAACTTCGTCTGAAAGTATAAATGGGAGTGGTGAGTCTGACAGAGTCTGAGAGGCTTGATGACTTTGATGTAGCCTGATGGAGGGCTCCACGGAGAGGATAAAAGGGAAAGAATGAATCAAACCTCAGGAATTTCAAGTGATGGGGAACATTTGCTAGGATGTAGTAGAGATCATGAAACATGGGTACAAGTACAGAGAGACCTGAAAATGACTTAGGTTTGGTCCTCTTGGTCAAAGATCTCGTCTCTGATCTAAATCTAGACTCTGACAGCTGCTCCCAGGCATTATCACCTTGTCATCACCAGCGCTGTCTGTGCACCACCAGCCCAGTGGCTCTCACCCCAGCATTTCAGTGCCATGGAGAAGGACTAAGCAGTTCTTACAAAAGCATGAATCAACTCCTTTAAAGGCAGCTGCAGCAGGCGACTCTCAAAGGCAGCCTCTTACCTGCTGGTTCTGATAGGCTGTGACGGTGGTGAACACTGTCTCAGGAAAGTTGAATGTCTTCACTCCATCCCCAACGGGGACAGGCTTGGTGGGGGAAAGGTCACTGCTGAAATCCTTGCGAATCACGTGAACTCGAGGCTGGTATTTGTGCATAGAGTGAAGAATGATCTGAAATGAGAAGGGGAAACATTACTCCAGGGTTGCCTCTAAGGTCCCTACACCTTTTCCAGCTCTTATGCAAACAAATTGCAGGATAAAAGCATTATAGGAAGAGCACAGATTGGAGGTGAGGTATACAGGGAACTGGAAATCGGTGTACTTGCCCATGGCTGGAAGGACTAAGTGACTGGAGCATCACCTCACACAGAACCCTGTAGCAGAGCGTCTCAATCATAGGTGATGAGTGCACTGTGTCTTCTTCATTTGGATAAATACTGAGTGAATTGGTTCTGATACCAGTAGACTCCACTCCACTAAAAGGTCTCAGAACCCCTGCTGTGTGACTGTTGTTCCCTCCTGCTTCACATCTTCAGCATGGGCTCCTCTGTCTTTAAATTTTACACGTCATCACTTGCCCTTTGTTATGGACTTTATGGACATCCTCTCATGTTACGTGAGAGCAAAGGGTATATGGGTGTTCTCTCCTCCTCAGAAAGTTACCATTTCCCTAAAGATAGGAGCCATGATTTTAGCTTCTGCAGTCTTCTTCCATAGCATCCAGTGTGGATTCTGGCTTTCAGTGAAAATTCAGTGTGTTAACTGCCAAAATTAAACCAGGGACACCAATTACACCTGGCCAGCCTTAAGACCTAGTCTTCTCTCATAAACTTATAAATTTCTTGACCAATCAGCCAGAACTGCCCCTACAACAGTTTCTCCGAGTTTATTGCCCTCAGAGGATAATATGAATTATATGATATGAATAACAGGGAATTATTCTAAATGTTGTGATTTATCTCAGAATTTTGAAATTCGTCCTGTGTTTCTTGACACACAGTGTCTTGACTTGACTTGACAGTGAGTTCCTAGAGCACAAGAACTCTGTCTGATAAACACAACCTGATACATAATAGACAGTTGCTTAATGTTAGTTTGTAATAAATGTAATTTAACAAGAAAAAAAAGCTTTTATGCTTGCATAATTACTTAAAATGACTCAAAACAGCATAGAGATTCTTTTTTACCCATTTGAAACAGCCTGGGACTAGTCAGTTCTAGAGCAAAAACAGGGAAAGAGGAAGGTAGAGGAGATGGGGTTATTTGACTCACATGTCCTTGATCATCCAATTCATTGTTGGTCAGCTTGAGTTTGTCAAAACTGACCACCTGTCTCATCCAAGTATCTCCAGAAGCTAGAGAATCAGGGTGGATATAAACTCTTGGGGGCACGGGGGAATCAGCGTTGCCAGCCACCATCCACTTGGAGCTGTGATACACATATCTGAGACAGAGAGGGAAGAAAGGAGAATTCAGAGACAGATGCAGGGGAGGAGCAGAGACCCGGGAAACAATTAGGGACAGGAGGGAGGAGACACAAATGAGAAAAAAATGGAGGAGGGAGGATTAAACAGAGAATACAAAGGAGCAAGGGAAGGGTGGATAACCAGGGAAAATGAAATAGAGATGGAAATTGGAAACAAGATGGGTGGGGGAGGGCAGAAAAGTGTTGTGGTTAATGATCAAAGCTGCAGCTCTCACAAGGAAAACATTCTCACAGTTCCTTTTCTTTCTTCTTCCTCTCCTTGCCTTGCACCCCTGTGTGCACACAGGCATCCTGAACCCACGTGTTTAGCTATGGAAAAGGTATTTTACTGCAACCTTTCACCTTTCAAATGCAAACCATATAATCCATTGGCCACTTGCTCAGGGTTTGGTCCCTTATTAAAAACATCTTCCATATTGTCCTATAAAACACAGCCATGTGCAGAGACCCTCCAAGCCTCTCACTTGTTAACCATTTCCTAGCCAAGACTCTGAATTTTGAAGCATTTTGATGAAAACTTAGTTTTGAACATCCACATTATTTTCCCACAAAGTCACTGGAATGATACTAGGTTAATCAAAGACAACTAACTGGGAAGTCTTGGTGTTTCTGGGAATGGTTGCACTAAGATAGCGGTCTCCATTTTCACTGAAATGAAGTATGTTTTTAAAGAAAGAAGCATCTCCCCTGCTAAGTCCAACATCAAGACCACTTTTTTCTTAACCAGCACTCCCTCTAACATACAAGTAATGAACTTCTCTATTCACCTCTAACCTCCAAATTTATCGGCTTAGGGCCAAGTTCTGAAATATCTCAAAAATGAGCCATAACTCACTGATTTGATTGAGAACTCAGGAGATCAATTAAGCCACAACCAGTTTCCAACAAGAACTGCGTGTGAGACACATGGAGATTATGTTGCCTTTTAATGGCTTTGAAGGAAAGTTATTTAGCAAACTTGTTCATAATCCATATTAATTACCAATAATTCCCCTAAATAGATATTCTTCTTGAGGTCTTACCCAATTCTCCCATTCTTCCTCTCCATCAATAACAGGATAATCCACCATGTATGTGATTGAATATACTATACTAATGCACTTCTCTAACCAGTTTTCAAAATAAATCATCTCAGCTCACTTAACCAAATCATTCAATACGTTAATCACTTGCAATGTTAATTGAATTAGTTTTAGACTTAAGATCCATTTGATTTTTGCTACCCTGGCATACACTACACAATCCCACTTTAAAAAAAATTGTTTATTTTTTGTTTTTTAGACTGTGCCATGCAGCATGCAGAATCTTAGTTCCCTGACCAGATATGACCCCCTGGAGAGGAAGCTTAGAGTCTGAACCACTGGTCTGGCAGGGAAGTCCCTATATAATCCCAGTCTTTATAGAAGTGTTAGGAGGATCCAGACCAAACCATTACTGGTTCTGATTCCCTGCCTCTCTAGTGACTACTTCCTGTCTGATGTTCTGCCACAGGCCATTGGCATATCCTCTATCCTTGTTCCCCATCCAGTACATCGTACAGTGCACTGTTAAAATGTGTCATCTAATGAGCTTACAGAACATTCTGGGTGCTGGTGATGCCCACAATTCCACATGCCAGTCATCATTACCTGTATCTTTTATTGTCCACAGGTACAATGTCCATTGCTATGTAGTACTGCTGGTGTGGATCTAGGCCAGTGATTTTCACTCTCATGGCAGGAAACATCCTCCTGTGATGGGAAACAAGGCAGGAAGCTCAGCAATCAGAGGGGAAGAAGTAGCAAGAGTAAACATTTGATGAGTCTCTTCTTAATAGGAAGCACATCAATATCCCATATCCTTTAATTCTCAAAGTTGGCTTGTTTTTTTTTCACTTTGAAAATTACCACTATCAAATATCCTGAGAATTTACACTGCTGAAATAACACCTCTTCTGAACTTAAATTGAACTGTTTGATTATTCATATACTCAAAGATCTCATACCATACCATGCTTTACATTATTAATCTTTAATGTGAGATAGATGGAGAGACAAGAGATAGATAGACAAAATGCATGTATATACATTCCCTATTAGACTGTAACATTCTTCTCTTTTTTTTGGCTGAACCATGCAGCTTGCAGGATCTTAGTTCCTCAAACAGGGATTGAATTGGGCCGCCTGCAGTGGAAGTGTGGAGTCCTAACCACTGGACAGCCATGGAATTCCCTAAAATATCTTTAAATATACTTACACTTTTATACTTAATACACTTGAATAACTTATATTTTTATCCCCCAAGTAGCTTATCACAATTAATTGCAGTGATCATGAAATACTTTTTGACTGTCTACTTGAAAATGACCACTCTCAAAATAATATCTCAAGAAAAGAAGAAAAGAAGGAAGGTGCTACCAGTTCTCAAACAAAGGACCACCAACATTTTTTTTTTTAACGCATAAAACTGTAGAAAAATTTCTGCAAGTTCTCAGGCTGTCAACGTGTGTGTCAGAGGAAGGACCCTGTGGAATAAGAAGCAAATACCAAATGAATTCTAGTGGCCTCTGGGCAATACCTTGTTTCTACCACAATGGCTTGTTAAACTTGCCAAAGCAAGCGAGGTCAGGATATGGCACTTTACAACCACCCTCATAATTGAAGAGGAGGAGAGGGAGCAGCCCCAAAGAGGTATTGAGTTTCAAGGAGACTAAAATAAAATTTGCCATTCTTCTTTAACCATAAGAAAGAAGAAAAACATCAGGCTATTTTGCATGTCATTCATTTAGGAGCCAGACATAAAAAGTGCTCAGTTTTTTAAAAAATGTGGATTGCCCTGAATGTGCTCTAGGGTACTTGTACACAAAATGCTGCATTAAGTTTAGTCATCTGGGGCCAGTTAGTTGAACTGGGCAGAGCACGGTGCTAATGAGGTCAAGGTCACAGGCTTGATCCACATATGGCCTAATTGGCTTTGCTCCATTTCACAGCCATAGACCATACCCTGACCCCAGACAGTCATCTCACAAATGTGCACCGGTTGTTTACATGAGGGGCTTTCTGTGCTAGTCACACTCTCTACTACTCATCAAAAATTACTCAGAAAACAATAGTCCTCTGGTTATAGGTTGGTGACATCATAATCTTGTTTGAGGTTAAAGCACAAGAGTGACCACAGATCTTCAATAGAGATGGTGGCTATTTCTTAAATATTTGCAAAGAATAATGTCAGTATTACCAATTCTTCTTTTTCACTTTATAACTTTCAGAAGCTTCTATTGGTATTGCAGTTTTAGATTTTCTTTCTCTATTCTTAAAGTTTAATTAGAAAGTCTTCTATTTTAGTATTATGGTGAGCTAACAAAATTTTATCGTAGGCTGCTCATAATGACTAAATCTATCATTCACTGTAGGTGAGGCACTTTGATTCACATTAACGCTTTCCAAAAATTTGGGAACCTTGGTATATACATGTATAGATCATTAATTCCATTCTTAATAACCATGACCTATGATTGCCCTGTCTATATAAATGTTTGGAGAACATCTTTCTGGGGGTGGAAGATCCTCTCTCTTACTACCTGAGATAAGAAAATGTGGTTTCTGTCAGCCAGCAACAGAGGGATACACTACACTGAAAGAGATGAATTTATTTCCTGATGACTTCAAGAAAAAGGGTCAGATGGTTTTAAATTCAATACCTGTTTTGTCTGAAACATTTATATGACCTTGAGTGGAGAAGCTACCTGTCTTTTTCCAGTACTTAAGTTCTAAAATGAATGAACTGTATGGCTCTTGATAAGTCATTTAAATTCACCATCTATAAAACAAAGGAAAAGAACTAAACAATGCTTACACTGACTTCTTGCTTTCAATTCTATGCTGATATTTGAATTCTCTCATTAAAATCTTACCAAGGTTGCTGTTTCTTTTTGTCAGTATTTTAGCACAGAATAGCAAGCAACGTCATAACACCCAAGAAAAAATTAATCTTTCACATTCACAAAGTGAGATGAGTTTAGTTTTCATTTTATGCCTAAATTTAAGTCAATTTTTTTGACTTCCAAACCCATTAATCCCTACAAACACCTCTGTCCATGGTGCTGACCATGCAGGTTCTGTTGGTTCTCTCAAAGATTGAGGGTTCTGTAGACTACAGTAGTTCTGAATCAACAAGCTTACAGTTTGGAATGTGAAAAGAAGTAGATGGTGACTAAGGTCTGAGAGGGGAAAAGACCAGAGAGGCACACATAACTAATAAAACAGAAACTGAAATTAAAACTGAAAAGGACACTACATAGGAAGAAAAATGAAGTGAAAAGGAAAGAATCAATTTCTGGGATGGGGAGGGAATGAAGAAAATTTACAGAAGAGAAAGACTTCTTTGCATGTTTCTGAGTGGTTCCAGAATTACTTGAGCAGAGTTACTGATAGCAACATTATTAGCTGGGGCAATCCAACATGGAAGCAATGAATATAGTTTCTAAACCTAAACAAAGGGATATGAATAAAGAACAAACTGTATGTCTGTGCTCAGAATGCCTGGATATACTCAGGTTGCTGTTGTTTAGTCACTGAGTCTTGTCTGACTCTTTTGTGACCCCGAGGACTGTAGCCCACCATGGCTACATGGCTCCTCTATCCATGGGATTTCCCAGGCAAGAATACTGGAATGGGCTGCCATTTACTTCTCCAGGGGATCTTCCCAACCCAGGGAGTAAACCCACATCTCCTGTAAGGGCAGGTGGGTTCTTTAGGCAGGTTCTTTAGCACTGAGCCACCTGGGAAGTCCATATATTCAGGTACCAAAGTGAATTTGTGAAGGCAGAGATACAGAAAAGAAAACACTGCAGAAGAAATCATGAAATGACATCACAGGAGAGTTGTCAAGGAAGTGTTTGAATAAACTGAATTCGTTGATGTGCAGGGAACAGGGAATGATATCAGGAACCAATGTGATTCAAATACACAGACATAATGTTAACAGTTGTAAGTAACTGCCCCCCAAAGAAAACTGGAAAATCTGATAGACAATAAAAGTAGTATTTCCCCTCTCACCAAACTAAGGCCCTTAACAAACACTAAGAAAAAGAGTAAAAATATCTTCCTTGAATTGCTGTTTCTGTCCAAGTCATAATATCTCAAAATGTAGACTGAAACTCAAGCAACAAAAAAAGATGGCTTTTGAAAGTAATTCTGAATAAACAACAAAGTCTTACTATATAGCACAGGGAACTATATTCAATACCCTGTGATAACGGAAAAGAATATTTAAAAGAATGTATATATATATATGTGTGTGTATGTGTAGGTGTGGGTGTGTGAATATACTGAATCACTTTGCTGTACAGCAGAAATTAACACATTGTAAACCAACTATACTTCAATTTTTAAAAAATAATTCTGAAAGGTATTTCAATTACTCAAATTGCTCCTCCAAATAAAGTTTTTTTAATGATTTTATTCCCTACTAAAACTTAAAGAAGGAAGGGGGTTTACAGTGGAGTATGAAACTGAATAAGACTTCTGCTTCATTTTAAGATCACCTTTTCATAACATCTTATTGAGAGGGTTCTCTATATGCATATTCAAGTGAACTAGACCCAGTCAAAACATGCTTTTGCTTTAAATGTCCATGGTTCACAAAGACAGTTTGCGATCAGTGAGGTGAGTCTTTTTGGTCTCTGTGATGTGAGATTACGTGGATTGACTTTGTAAATATGAAACCAGTATAGCTGCTTTAATTTCAATGAACTATTCTTATACACTAAAAAATTCAGTACAAATTTATTTTCATTTGAATTCAAAGGGCAGAACAGACATAAATACTTAAGACAATTGTTTTGGAGCCAAACAGATTTGCGTAGAATTCTGAGCTGTCCTTTACTACCTGTGTGGCCTTAGTCAAGCTAATTAACCTCTTCCAGCTTTTGCATCCTCCTCTATATATGGGATTATCATATCCTCCCTCAAAGGACTCCCGTGAAGTTTAAAAAATGTAATACATGTTGAATACCCAGCATAAAACAGATACCTAACTCTGAACATATGCAAAGATACCAATAAAGAAGTAGCTTAATTAAGTGTTTATCTCAAGAAATGTCAATGTATGACAAAAACCACTACAATATTGTAAAGTAATTAGCCTCCAACTAGTAAAAATAAATGAAAAAAAATTAAATAAAATTCTCAAATCAAAAAAAAGAAATGCTGTGTTTTTAAAACTTTTATTATCCTACCTAAATCATTTTGAAAGAGTTTCCAGCAGGTCCCATTAAAGTGATAATTTCAAGCCAACAGTAAAATACAAAGAATCAATCATCAGAGTTCCAAAAATGCACCAAGCCCAAATTTTAACCAAAAACAAAATTCTTACAAAAATATCTGGCTGATTTAAATGCCTTAGAAGATGCAAGCTTTTTCTCTTGAAAACACTGGTTGGTAAAGTAACACTAGCTTTAGTGATCTATTGTTTGACTGTTATGTACCATGCATCTCTAGTACTGGCTGGAACACATTTGCAAGCAGAAAATGTTTGTGAGGGTAGAGGTGATTTAGGTTTGAGTGATCCTTGGAGGAAAATAGCAAAATCCAATAAACACAAAAAAAGCATTTTATCAAGATATCCAGATGCTGAAAAGCGAATGGGAGTGGCTTTGGCTTCACCAAGGCCACCTACCACAAATAAATGAAAAGAAAAATTTAACAGCTCCTAAGTTTGTTCTTCTGGTCTTTGAATCTGGCTATTAAAGAACTGTCCTTACCTGCCTGCTTTGGTGATAATCATCTCGGTTCCAATGTCATGGAACCTCTTCCAGAGGTCAGCACATTGTAGCTCCACCTGAATCTCTTCCATGGAAGACATGGCGGCAGGCACGGGGCCCGCAGCACCAGGGCCCAGGTCAGCGTGAGTGTCAAAGGAGCAGGAAGTCCTCTCGGTGAGCACCTCGGAGTCGGAACCTGTGCTCTGCTCGGAATCTGCAAAATAAATAATTGAGCCTTAGGTGAGAAACTGCTGACTCCCCCCATGCCCCTGGCCTCAAAAAGATGGAGGCAGGGTGGGGGGCATGATGGGGTGGGGAGAAGGGTAACAAAAGGAGGCTTAAAACTGGGAAGCTCCAGAGCACAGTACTCAGGGTATTTTTTTTTTTTTATGGTTTGTTTTTGTGATTTACGATCTTCTTTCAGGTTTCATGTTTCCAACATGACATCTGGCATTTTAGTAAGTTCTAGCAACAGCTGAAGAAAATTGGTCCACAATAGGCAATAGAAAGAGTATGAATGTCACCGTGTTGAAGGGAATAAAACCAAACTGGGGTAACAAAATAAACAAAGGCCAAATTTTAAGAAAGAATCATCATCACAGACTCCAGCTGCAAAGCCAGATTAGACTTTTCAACTTGGGGGAAAAGATTCCATGCTAACAGCAACGTATTCTTTAATTCCATACCACACAGCATCACTGTCCATCAGTCAGTTACTTTTAAACACAGCAACTTTCCCTCCATTTATATATCCTGGTCATCACAAGTAATGAAAAGCTGTTTGGGATCTTCAGAAATGCCTTGTTGTATAGTTGAGTAAATGGCTTTCCCTAAAGCCCAATTGGGCCATTTTGGATTTAAAGGAAAAAAAAAAGTCTGTTGTGAGGCAAGGATGTAAGCATATGGAAAAAGTTACCCCAAGAAGGCGGTTAAAACAAAGGGAATAAATAAGTTTAGGAGACACCTTGATTGGTTTCTGAAGTATGGGCAGAGGGGAGGGCTGATCCAAACAGGAAGGTAGGATTGAGAACAACCAAATAAAAAGCGGGCATGCTGGGCCAGACAGTCCTTTCCTCCTGATTCTTCTTTTCTCAAAGAAGGGGCAGGGTTGGGGGTGGGGGAGTAGGAGGATGCAGACCAAAGAGAATGCTAGAGTCAGGTCTGTAAGTTTTCAGAACTTACTTTTAGAAGAATTGTATCTCCTAATATTTTCCAAACTTGGAGTAGCTAGTACAGTCTCCTTATGTCAAATGATACTGCAAACCAAGCCCAAGAACCTATTTCTTCCACTCACCCTTAACATCTAGGATTCTGATTTCTACCCCCTAATTAAATATATAAAGAGAGGTTAAAAAACAACAATGCCTTACTCTGACAACTGACTTTTCAACGCTGTCAAAAGTCAGGACCTCTTGGGCACCAGTCCTTGACATTAACATGACGGAAGAAGGCTGGGACACAGTGCCAGACCATCTAGCGGCCATCCTCACTAACTGGAGCAGGTTTCCAGGCCTGTGAAAAACGCCTCTCATGACACCTTTAATTTTCTTTCCTTCCAATTCCTAAAGTGTTCCTCTCTCAAGTCCAGGCAGCATTTCTAGCAAGAATCTCCCACAGCTTTGCAAAGCCCATAGGAAGCCAAGTGTCATTTTTCTCCATCCTCCCCAATTCCTCACCCTCACTGCTGAAGACATTCAACACACCGCAGAACTGAACCAAGCTCCTAAACAACAGGGAAGCCTCTGCCCATAATCTTTAGTTTATCCACAATCACTGATCCAGTCATCATCTTCATCAAAAACATTAAAAAGTTGTATAGCCAGATTTTCCATGTCCAAGCATATCATTTTATACCTTGGACTAAACAAAAGCTAATGTTGGTCTCTTCCAAGTACAGAAAAGTGGAGCTATTCATCTAAGGGAGAGCTGTGGTTGAGTGACAAATCTCTATCCCAGCCTGATTCAGTCTGCCTTTCAGCAGAGCCATGACATCATCATGCACTCTCCAAACATAGTAATCCAACCCCCTGAGGTGTGGATTCCCAAATCCCATTTTGTTTCTGTGATATGCCCAGAGCTCCTGGCTTATCACTAAAATTGTGACTTTTTCAAGATCTTCTCAAAGCAAGATTTTTAAAAAGTAGTCTTGTCCTACTTTTGGGAGCAAAGTACTATGGAATCTCCCTATCATAGCATGCTATGATTGTGAAACAACTGGAAATAAACAACCTAAGTAGGGCCCGGCAAACATTTTTGACACATGATTTCTCTAGCATGTGTTTAGGAGGGAGGAAAGAAAGGAAAGATACTGCAGCACTAAGTGATCCATTTCTAAAGGCAGCCAACTTGAGGTAGGGATTGGAATTGCAGAGTAAGGAAGTAAAAGTCTCTGCTCTTAACTCCCTTCATCATCTGGAATAAAACAGGTACTCAGAATCTAACATTAAATGGACTAATGAATAACCTTGGGCAAGTTATTTAGCCACATTGGACCTATTTCTTCACAGTACAAATTAGAAGGACTGAACTGAAAACTCATAATCTCATCTACCTCTAGTGGTTTGAAGAATGTAAGAATCCTTCTTAATGCAACTTTCAGGATTAACCCAGGCTACCTCAATTAGAAGCATCATTTTTTAAAATTCTACTTCGAAACTTTAGGAAAAAGTCCAAAACACATGTAAATAAGTCAAAAGAGATAACCTTTTTTAAAGATCATTATACAAATTGCTTAATTGGGACTTTAGTTCTAAGTACTCAATGGGCGACTATTTCTAATAGATTGTTAGCTGTTCAATGGTTTTTTTTTTTTTTTTTAGATAAAACACCAGAACCATGATTCATGAAAGAAAAATTCGATGTTGGGACTTGAAAAAAATTGCAGAAGCATCAAATTATACACTGTCTGGGCAAGATAATGAAATGAGGCAAAAACTGAGGATCCAAATTCACATTATCCTAGGAGTTGAAGAATTGAGTATTCTGTTTATAGTTTCAATCAAATCCATCAATAAGCACCTATCAGCATGTGGCCCTATACAAGGTACCACGTAGATAATTTGAAACAGAGTCCAAACCTTGAGAAATTTTCCAGTTAGTTAGTGTTGATTGATTATGTGTTTATTGAGTGCTTATTATGTGCCCAGCACTGTGCTAGATTCTGGAAAATACTCAAGTACACAACGGATCTCTTTATAGAACAAGTAGAAACTGGAAATGTTCATAAACAATCAGAGACCGAGACAACTACTACCATGCAGTTCTCCATACCATTACATATTTTTCTGTATGTCACATAGGAATTCAGGGAAGAAAGAGATCAAAGAGGGCTGGAAAATTCCATGGTTACTAAGAAAGAAATGGATAAGACGTGGAGGCAGAGGCACTATTTTCCCATGAAGAGGATTTCCAGAGACATTTCTTTGCCTGGAAATACTCTGTGCTCCTGAAGTCTCACTCCCTCACAAAATAAAGCCCAAACAACTTCTACATACAGAATGCAGGCACCAGCCCACATTTTCAGTCACATGAATGTAGCATGTAATTTTCTATCCTTGATTGTTTAACTGTCATAGGTTGAAAACAAAATTAATATTATAGCTTACATAATTTGTTTCTTCAGAAAGGAACATGTATGTATTATTATAGAAACTGTGAAGAGTGAAGTCACTCAGTTGTGTCCGACTCTCTGTGACCCCGTGGACTGTAGGCCACCAGGCTCCTCCGTCCATGGGATTTCCCAGGCAAGAATACTTGAGTGGGTTGCCATTTCCTTCTCCAGGGGATTTTCCCGACCCAGTGATCGAACCCGGGTCTCCTGCATTGCAGGCAGATGCTTTAACCTCTGAGCCATCAGGGAAGCCCTGATATAGAAACTGTAGATGATCAAAAAGACAAAAAAAAACCACAAATCACTTTTAATCTTATCATGTAGAAATAAACACACTTTTGTGAGTGTAGCATTCTAGGGTATTCCCTGCAACTTTTATTTACTAACTTTATCTTTCTAAAAGATTAATTTACATTTATAGATATTAATTGACACATAACCTAATGTTAGTTTCACATGTCCAACATAAAGATTCAAGTATGTATATACTGTGAAATAATCATCACAATAAATCTGGTTAACATCCTTTACCACACCTAGTTATTTTTGTGTGTGCAATCAGTATTTTTAAAATCTCTCTTCCTAGCAAGTTTCAAATATACAGTTCAGCTCAATTCAGTCACTCAGTCGTATCCGACTCTTTGTGACCCTATGAACCGCAGCACGCCAGGCCTCCCTGTCCATCACCAACTCCCAGAGTCCACCCAAACCGGTGTCCATTGAGTCAGCGGTGCCATCCAACCATCTCATCCTCTGTCGTCCCCTTCTCCTCCTGCCCTCAGTCTTTCCCAGCATCAGGCTCTTTTCCAGTGAGTCAGCTTTTCACATCAGGTGGCCAAAGTATTGGAGTTTCACTTCAACATTAGTCCATCCAATGAACACCCAGGACTGATCTCCTTTAGGATGGACTGGTTGGATCTCCTTGCAGTCCAAGGGACTCCCAAGAGTCTTCTCCAACACCACTGTTCAAAAGCATCAATTCTTCTGTGCTCAGCTTTCTTTATAGTCCAACTCTCACATCCATACATGACCACAGGAAAAACCATAGCCTTGACTAGACGGACCTTTGTTGGCAAAGTAAGGTCTCTGCTTTTTAATATGCTGTCTAGGTTGGTCATAACTTTCCTTCCAAGGTGTAAGCGTCTTTGAATTTCATGGCTACAATTACCATCTGCAGTGATTTTGAAGCCCAGAAAAATAAGGTCAGCCACTGTTTCCACTGTCTCCCCATCTATTTCCCATGAAGTGATGGGACCAGATGCCATGATTTTAGTTTTCTGAATGTTGAACTTTAAGCCAACTTTTTCACTCTCCTTTTTCACTTTCATCAAGAGGCTCCTTAGTTCTTCTTCACTTTTTGCCATAAAGGTGGTGTCATCTCCATATCTGAGGTGGTTGACATTTCTCCCAGCAATCTTGATTCCAGCTTGTGCTTCCTCCAGCCCAGCGTTTCTCATGATGTACTCTGCATATAAGTTAAATAAGCAGGGTGACAATATACAGCCTTGACGTACTCCTTTTCTTATTTGGAACCAGTCTGTTGTTCCATATCCAGTTCTAACTGTTGCTTCCTGACCTGCATACAGATTTCTCAGTAGGCAGGT